TGCCCCTGTTCACATTTTTCTGTTTAAACAAAAATTACTAGGCTATTACATAAATTTAAGATCATTAATTTTTTTTCTTCTCGTTTTACTTTCTCTCTTTAATATTTATCATGCTGTTTTTGCCTTGTATACTTCCTTCTTTTTACTCCTGTTTAATCTTCATCTTTGATGAGGGGAGTTCTTGTCTGAAACTAAATGTGAAAAAAAAAGTTATTTTAGAAATTCTTCTAAATTATTAAAGTATTTCTACTGATAAAAAGATTAGGATACTTTGGGTCTTTGGTTGGACATAAAGGTCAGTAGCATGTAATAGTAGTTCAGGTTGTTGGGTGGGGCACAGGGAATATCTCTGGTGATAGTTACTTGCAGTTAAAAGTTGAAATTATTTGCATTTTCTGAGGTCACATTATATTAAGTAATAGAAGACAAATGGAATGACATCATTAAAAGATGGAAGTGGTTTGCTCTAATATGTATAAATATTTGTTGCAGCAAGCACTTTTGTTTAGGTAAAAACCGGGAAAAAGGTTTATCCTGATGTCATACAAATGCAGCCTCAGTATGCACTTTATGTTGGTTTAGCATTCTTAGATACAGGGACTTCAGTTACCTGTTATCAAATGAACTGTTTCAGTACTGTGCTTTTCACATCATAATATTCGTAAATTCATTAAATGCAAGATAAGCTAGAGAGTTGAATTAGAAAGAACATAGCTCGATCAGATTTTTGTGATTGAAGTGCTATCCTTTGTATCTGACACTTCAATATAGATGTCAATGATTAGAAATGTTTTGACAAGCAGCACAGGCATTTATAGTCTCAAAGAGACCTATGAAGGGGCATGGAAGGGAGATGGTCCAGTTGGGCCTTCCCATTGTAGATGCACCTCCCGAGGAAGAAACCGCCATTTCAACATATAAAGGCATGTCTAACATTTATGCAATAGGATAAACTTATATATTTTTTCTTTCTAGTGTAGTTATGGGGTTCTTAATCAAATTTGCAGACCGGAAAACGGAAGCAATACCTGGCCTGTTCCAAGATGTTATTGATCGACTGAGTGCTATGGAAGCATTGTCCGTGAAGCCGGATGCTTGCGTTATTGATATCTTCAATGAGGTTTGCAAGCAGTAGTTTTAGTTCTTATGGTCATGGTGATTTTGCTCAGAAAGCTTTGTGGATTTGATAAATTGCTAATAATTGTAGGGGGACCACTCACAGCCTCATTTATGGCCTTATTGGTACGGACGACCAATATCTATGCTGTTCTTGACAGACTGTGAAATGACTTTTGGTAAGGTGATTGGTGTGGATCATCCAGGCGATTATCGAGGCTCTCTCAAACTGTCTCTTGCACCAGGGTAGTCCTTTCCTCAGCCTTTCTTGTTCAATTATTTATTTTTCTTTCAGTTGCTATTTTGTCTTGGGCATGTATTGAGGAGGTTGTACTTTTCCTTGAATTATATAACTTTGACTCCAAATCAATCCGAGGTTGCAGTAAGTAATCACCTAATGAATCTTTCTGCTTTGAAAATGCACAGGTCTGTACTTGTAATGCAGGGAAGATCAACTGAATTTGCGAAATATGCAATTCCATCCATCCGGAAGCAGCGAATACTCGTTACTTTTACAAAGTTACAGCTGAGAAGAATCAAGTCTGGTGATAGTCAACGTTTCCCTTCATCAGCAGGAGGTCCCGTCTCCCAGTGGGTTCCTCCTAGCAGGTCACCAAATCATATACGTCGTCCTTTTGGGCCCAAGCATTATGGTTCCATGTCAACAACTGGTGTATTACCTATTCCAGGTGTTCGTCCGCAGTTTGCTCCTGCAAATATGCAGCCAATTTTTGTTCCCGCCACGGTTGCACCAGCTATGCCTTTTCCAGCACCAGTTGCCCTTCCACCTGCCTCAGCTGGATGGGCTGTACCTTCTCTTAGGCATCCCCCACCGCGACTGCCACTCCCTGGCACTGGCGTTTTCCTTCCTCCAGGCTCTGGAACATCATCCACTGACAACATTCCTGCTGAAAATGCTGGTCCTCTTAGTGATTCAACTGTTTCTCAGAAAGTCAATTCAGGTAGTAGTGAAGTACAAACACAAGAGTGCAATGGAAAGGCAGATGTTAGTGATGCAGAGATACCAGTGGCTTATGAAGAACGACACTAACGTGCTGATTTCAGCAGTGCAGAAACCAAGGTGGAAAAATGGTAAATGCATCGTTGGAGCAGAAGGTTTACACTACAAACTGCAGTGAGTTTGAAGAAAATGTAAAGAGCAGAGCAGCAATTGTTCAGAGTTATACTTCCAGCAGAGCAACGGAAGGAGAGTTATCTCTTCTTCATGCTCTTCTTTTTTGTTGTCTTGTCAAACATAATTATACATATATATATCTTATATTAGATAAGGAAAACTTAGTTACAAAACTTTATTGTAGCTTCACAGAAAAATTTCAACTCATTATATAGAAGTAATGAGTAGTAGTATTTCTCTTCTCATATGAAGTCAGCAAAAACTTGTAGGCTAAAATGAACTTTTTTTGACATTTTCTTCTTTGATGATGTCTACTCTCTCCATACTTTTAACAATTATCTTGTGTTGATATCATTTGATCATTCCTTTTTTTATTTTTAAATGACGGAATAATGGGATCCTTCCTTTACTCTTTTCCACTTAAATACCAAGCGTATTTCACATGATTTAAGTATTCAAACTTTTCTTTTCTTTTTCTTTTCAAGATTTGTTTAAAACACGAATTGAGCAAGATTCTCTAGGAAAATTAGTACTTTAAAAATAGAAAAATGAGTTTCATTGTTCGAGGAGGAGAAATAAGTTTTATAAGTGGTATTTCAAGACCATTGAATCTCGATAATCCATTCTATAGTATTTTTTTATATTTACATTTAAGTTTTTGGGATAATATTATTTTGCTTACATACAAAACACAAGAAATCTTTTGCTTTTGGTCAACGAAGTTGAGTATTAGGAGAATTGTTTAATTTGTATTCTTTTTTCCTTCTCCAACAATTGGACGATTTTATTAATGAAGTATTAATTAGTTGTTTTCTTAAGGGGATTACTCTATTTTAACTTTTATTATTAGCCAACTATTTTGTTCAACGACACCAAGTCACCAACCCCCATCACCACGTAAAAAGAGGATTAAAATAATAATAATAATACACTAATTGTTAATTCAATGACTTAACGCGTTGCTAATTAATTTTCTCTTTTTCCACACTCTGAAGGTAAAATTTACTACTCGTCCGACTCAATTTGTATGGTATAGTTTGAATTTAGAGAATCAAATGAGTTTTTCTTTTGTCACAAGTTTTCGTACAACTTACATAAATCTCATAGTTTTAATATGAAATTACAATTTATCTCTCATTAGTTTGTAATTACATTAATCCCTTAAAAAGTAACACAAACCGGATACATAATATATAGCTCGAATACATTAAAGAATATCTCAGATATATTATAACATAAATCGGATACATAATATGTAGCTCGAATATATTAAAAACTAGCTCGGATACATTAAAGAAATAAGGGATTTTAGAGATTTTTAGAAATAGAAGGGGATATTGGAAATAAGGGAAACATAAGACGTGTATTTCAGTAATTTTTCCTAAGTCGTTTATATGCTTTTTAAATATTTTAAAATTGATAATTTTTTTATGTAATTTCTGAAGCTAAATAAATTAAAGATTTTATATTCGAATTTGTGATCAAAATTCATAAAAGTTGACTCTCGCCTGAACAATACCACGTAAATTGAAACAAAAAGAACATTATATTTAGATCACCAAACTTCCTGTTTTGATTGATTGAATGAAAGTACATGTGAACGAATTAATTATTATTGGTAGAATTTGAAAGTGCTAAATCTATCAAAGGCTTCCTTTTTAAAAGATTACACTTTTAAGATTTTCTTAATTTATCTACATGAATTGTGATGGGATGATTGAGATTCCTTCATTTTTAATCAAAGATCTTAATTTGAGCACCCCAAGATGGAAAAATCACATTGTGAGTCCACCACAAAAAAAAGGTCTCGCAATATGTGATTCAATTTTATTAGACTCCAATATAGCTCCGAACACAGAATTGAAAAAAAAAAAAAACACACAACACGTTGATCATTTTATTTTTCTTGTAGCCATGTGAGATATACGTATAAGCAAAGATTTGAATAAAATATATAACGATACCTTGGCTTATAACATAGTTTAATTAACACCGGTAGTGGAGATTCATTTTTGTTTTAAATTGTTTTGTTATTTGTTACTTGAGTCGAGGTTTTTGATATTTGTGTGACCTTTCTATCTTATACGAGATAAAAGTAAAGTTTGCATAATTCTATTTTTATTTCGACCTCATTTGTGGGGTATTTTATGTCCTCAGATAAAGATGTCTCCGACGCTATTCTCCCGGCAAGAAGAATTTTTTCTATTGTGATTTTTTTGGCGAGTTCGATCAGGAGGAACAAAAGAGAGATGCTTTCTATCTAATTATTATTGTATTGGAAATTGTTTTTGCACAATTTAACTTATTTAAAAGATATTTATAAGTAAATTTTCATAAAATGTGAAATTTATAATCTTAAAAATAACATCATTATAAAAGATAGAAATAATTTAATTGTGTAAATTCTTTATACTGTCCAAACTCCTTGAATCCCCTGAATCCAAATTATTTATCGTTTTTTCGCTTTTCTAGATTCATATTATGTAAATTTTGTATAATATTTTAAAATATATTTTTTTTCATCATATTAACATAAGATATATTGTAACTTATAATATTTTTCGTATAATTTCTGAATATTAAACTTTAGTGAGGACATATTCTTGCAACTTCTCATCATGTTCCTTTCCAAATGGAGTAGTTGAAAAGTACAAAAAAAAAAGACAACTTTTGGATATTCCATTAATATACCCTTCTTTCATTAGAGTAAAATCATTTCTCATATAATTCCCTCCAAAGTAATTTCATCTTTCATATAATATCAAATGAAAGCATTTTTTCCCAAGAAAATAATTACTATGAATTTTCAATATGTTATTATTTTCTTGGTTAGTTTTGGATTTTGTTTTCTTGTTTCTTGTGCTGAATTTCCATATTTTAATCAATCACTAAAAGATGATGGCTCTCTTAGTTTTCTTGTTATTGGAGATTGGGGAAGAAAAGGACTTTATAATCAATCAGAATTGGCCTTCCAGGTTCTTCATCTTTCATTCTTACCTTTTTTTAAAAAGTTATATATACTTTTGTGAAAATATTTGGGAGTTCATGGTGCATTCGGTACGGAGGAAAATGTTTTCTAGAAAAATAAATGGAATTATGTTTATGTTCTTGTGTTTGATATTATTTGTAAAAAATATTCTCAAATATACTGTAATTACAAAATAAATAATAAAATGATTTTATTCATCAAGATTGTAAGTACAAATCTATTTATGTCTTGATTTTTCTCTTTTAACATTTCTCTGTGATTCGAGGGTTAATAATAACATATTTCTTGAACTAGGATGATGTGAGTCTATTTGAGATATATTTGATCTCCATGAAAGAATTTTGTGGATCTTTTTGAAGTATATAGTTGTTAGGAAGAGTGCATCGGTCATATCTTGATGAACCTTGTGAATGTTCTATGAATTTATGGAACTTTCGAAATGTTTTTTCAAGAGAATATATACCTTTAATGTAGGTATGCGTTAGGATTTAGAATAGAGAAACATTCAAGAAGAAACTTAACTGAAATTAAACTTGTCTAGTAGAGTTCCACATAATTTCGATGTCTACAGATACGTCAAAAATATCATCTTAAAATAAATGGGGATAGGGGCTTGGGTTGGTGGAATGAGGGTAAAGATGGGAAGTGTTGAAGAACAGAAAAGAACTTTGAATATATGACTTGTAAAACTTATTTTTTCAAAAATTTTAACACGAACATAGAAAAATTGAAAAATAGTATCTGGAAATATTTTCTTACATAATGAACATGCTTTTGTTCTTCTTCTTTTGTCTAGTTAGTTGTAACATATCATACCATGTGTTCTTGTAATTAAGTTTTAAATTCTTCTCATAATATATACTTACAAGTTCTTTAACCATTCATTTGTTGGCTATTATTTTGATCGACGATTATTTATATCAATTTCTTAAAATATTATTGAAGAAATAAGAACATCTTTTTATTTTACGAATTTTTGTTATAATCATTATTGCTAATGCTTTGACCTTTTGTTATGCATGTGAGGCACAAAGTTAAAAATTAATTTGTTATATTAGTGCCATAGTTAATTAATTATATTAAACTTGTTACTAACCTATCTATGAACACCTACTTTAACTTCCTCTTTCTTTCCTTTTTCTCTTGTGATTATTTAATGAGTTTAACTAATATACCGACTATGTAAATATTTGTTACGTTATCAAGTCATTGTAATATTTGTTACGTTATCAAGTCATTGTAGTATAATATTTTTTATTATTTTTCAAGATTACATATATTTTTTTTTTATATAGGTCGGTTACTTATAAATATCTTTGAATGACCTGATAAGATTGAATTAGGCTCAAGATTCATTTTCTTAATTCATATTAGATCAACATAACCTATCCTAATTTAAGTTTACCGATGATGGGTTCCCAGAGTAAGGTTGAAGAGTCCACATCAGATTAAAAAAAAAAAGTGTGGTCATTGACCCCAAAATCCATTATTTTATAATTATTTTAATTTTAACGAGCGACCAAATTTATAACCAACTTTTCCATAATAAGAGTTGTGTGTGATTCAAGCATGATTTTTGCATCTATATATATCATTATATTTGAGTGTAGCTAGGACACAAGTTTTTTCTTTCTTCACGCAAATAAAAAGAAATAATTCTTTGGAGATTCAAGATTATTTATCCTATTTAGGAATGGAATTAATTGTGGGGAAAAGCATATTTTACATTGTTCCAAAACTCAAAAGCAATTTATCCAAAGTTTTATTACTTTAAGCAATAATAAAATCTCTTTCCTCTTTTATTATTCCATTTTAGAGCTTTAGGTCTTATAAAAATTTGACATAAATGCACTTCCAAACATTAATGTAAAACTTATAACAATATAAGAAAAGATCTCTCATAGGGGTGACAGTTTGGGTTAAATTTGGGCAGGTCATATATAATAGATTAAGATAACAATCAGGTCAAAAATCAATCTAATCTAAATTTGTTTGGGTCATAATGGGTTGAATCAAATGGGTTAGGTAACGGGTTATACTACGGGTCAAGACCCAATCCAACCCAATTTTTATTAAGTTTAATTATTTTATTTGTTCTTTTAAACTATTTTAATACCTAATAAAATTATTTTTTTCTTTATTATGGCTATATATAGCATATCAAATTGAAAAATATTTTAACAAAATTACTCATGAGTCAATTCAGGTTACATGTCAACCCAATTTTTAATGGGTTGAGCTGATGAATGAGCGGATCAATAATTTGTTCAAACTTAAATGAGTTGGACGAGTTAAACCGGCAAGGTTTGATTTTGTCCCCCCTACCCATTTACTAAAAGAATTAAAAAAAAAAAATTGGTCCATAATCGTTGTTTTATTAATAATTTTTTTGTATTATTTTTATTAATATTCTGCGTAAAAGATGATATAACTAAAATAACCTTTACAATATAGTGTATATATGCATAGCATTTTTTGGAATGACAAGATTTTGAATTTTCAGATGCATATATCTTTGTGAGAATTGGTTTGAAAACATCATATTTTTTTGGAACAAATCTTTTAGATCTGATTATTTTAATTTTAATTTTAATTTTTTTTTTCAATTAATGCATGCGTATAGATGGGAGAGATAGGGGAAAAGCTAAAGATAGATTTTGTAATATCAAGTGGTGACAATTTCTATGAAGATGGGCTAAATGGTGTAAATGATCCTACATTTCAACATTCTTTCACCAATATTTACAAAGCTCCTAGCTTGCAAAAGACATGGTACAATGGTAAATAATCTTTTATACAATTTATTATATTTTGAGGATGTGTGGTGAAATTAGCTCATGAAAATATAATTTGTAGAATCTGTTTATTTCGTACCTCAAACTTATTTTGATCAGTCTAAATCAACTTATATAAAAACATGGATTTGATAAATGCTAAATATATAATCAAGATTGACACATACAAAATCGTATCAAAAAAAAAATTATTCATTTTTTTTTTGGACATATTATATATATGGTCATAATAAAGGAATAAGATTTTGTTAGTTTTGTAAAAGGAGGTTTTTTAATAATAAGATTTGAGAGGGTTGAGTTATATAAAGACTTATTGTTTAGGTCATTCAAGCTTAATTTTTTTGTCAAGCTTTTAAATCTGCTTATTTTAAAAAAAAATGTGCTTTTAATTAGAAGTGTTATTGGATAATCAATTTGAAAAATACTTTTGTAATATTAGAGATTCAATTTTTTTTGCTTGTACAATGTTTCAAAAATGCTTATGAGAAAAAAAATTAATTTTAACTTCTGAAAAACTTCTTCTGCTACTAGTCCAAAAAGCGTATTATACTCCTAAAAATTTGTTCAAACACCTTAATTCTCTTAGTAACTTTGATCCGAACCTTCAATAACTTATAAAGACTAAAATTCTGCATCTATAATTTTCAAATCCTGATTCCGCCTCGATTCAATTTTTTTCTTGTGGCAGTGTTGGGGAACCATGACTATAGGGGAGATGTAGAGGCACAACTAAGTCCAATCCTTAGAGAAAAGGATAAAAGATGGTTTTGTTTGAGATCCTATGTTCTTCATGCAGGTAAGTGTTATAACAATAATATTTTTTTAAATTTTTACCACAAATTTTGGAAGTTAATTAAATATTTTGTTTCTTATCTCATGTAATTAAAAGGGAATGTAAAACTTTAATGTTTTTCACTTTTATTTTAAGCAAGATAAATATTATTATCCTATACAGAGATGCATATCATTAAATAAAAGTAAATATTTAGGAAAAATTATCTGACACAACAAACTAAGGTCATGTATTTATTTGAAACAACGATAGTTTAAAAGAATATATATAATATAGTAGATATGCATAGATATATTGATTATCTACATAGATTATATTAGATTGAAATAAAATATATTTCACTTTTGTTACATATATCTGGACACAAAGTATTCCGCTACAAAGATATTATATATGTACAGATACAATATATTTCATTATTATTATGCACATGTATATACTGTATTCTATTACATTTTGAAACTAAATTGCCCATACGTTTTGTAATGAAGTAAAATCTCATTATTTTTCATAAATCTGAATGCAAATAGAATTATTATTTACTAAAATTTCTCAAATATTTTACATTATTGTCCCTTTTTTTTTTTTTTTTTTGGTGAGGCAGAAATTGTGGATTTTTTCTTCATAGACACAACCCCTTTTGTGGATGATTATTTCACAAACCCAAAAGAGCATACCTATGACTGGAGAGGTGTCTTACCAAAGGATAAATATCTCAATGATCTATTAAAGGTAATTAATAATAATAATTATTGTATCTTAGAGTAATATTATGAGTTATTTAAGTAGGCATTCAAGCATGAATTGAACGATATTTAAAAAAAATGATTTACAAAATTGATACAATATATAATCAAACAGGTTTTTGAAAAGAAACAAGTCAGAAAAATAATAATTAGGAATATTTATCAATATATATACTGTTCGGATAATTAGTTTACAAAATATGTATAAAAATAATCGAAGTATACTCATTCAATAGATAATATAATACTTTATATAATTAGCATATTGAGATTTTTATGTTAAATTTTATTTATCCAAACTTTTTTTTTCTTAATTATTTTTCTTTTGGGGATTTGCAAAAAGGATTTGGATTTGGCACTAAGCAAATCAACTGCAAAATGGAAGATGGTGATTGGTCACCATACAATTAAAAGTGCTGGACATCATGGTATTATTACAGAACTTGCTCAACAATTAGTCCCAATACTTGAGGTAATTTATAATTTACTACAACATAGTTTTAGCATTTATAAGATTTGATCCATATTTTTTGAGAAAAAAAACAATCACACTGAGGCGATCTCAAACATAAGAATACAATATCTTTCAAGAGACAAAAGCCTTATTTGGGAAACTTCTCGTCTATAAATCTTCTTTGCACGAGCTTCTGTAAGTCCAGAGGCGGGCCCACCATGTTCAGTGGGGTTGCACGTGCACTCGTTAACTTTGGAAAAAATAATGTGTATATATGTATATCTATCTTGAGAAACTGACGGAAATTAGGATATAATTAACGATACACCCATAAATAGCATAAGCGTTTTCTTGAGCTGTTGGTACAAGGTAGAGGAGCCACCTGCGAGACCAGGGTTTGAATCACGCTAGAGTGCTATTTTGTTGTTTTTATTTTAAATTTAGCTTAGAAATGATATTTGGTGCACCCGAAGTTTTCAAATCCTGGATTCGCTTGTGTAAGTCCTGAAACAGACTCCAGTTATATGTGTTAAACATCAGGCAATTTCAAATCAAACAAGTCATAGAGTTTCAGATTAACCAATATTTTTACGTGTGAAATTTAAAACTTCTTGATAATAGCTATTTTCCAAAGATAGGACCGAAAAATGACTAGTAAATGCTATTGCTACACAATCTTTATTTATATTTTTGCTTTATAATTATTGTTAATTTTATCTTATTATTCTATATAGGAACATGATGTCGATTTTTACATCAACGGCCACGATCATTGCTTGCAACGCATCGGAAGCATCGATAGGTAACAAGACATCAATCAAAAATACATAACATATATATATATATATATATATATTTATATGTACCAAAGTTTCAATAATTAGTTTATAAATGTCGATTTCGATTTTTGTTCGAACTAATCGATTAAGTTTTTACTTAATTAGCAAGTTGGAGTTTTTAACGAGCGGAGGCGGATCCAAGGCTTGGAGGGGAGATGTTAAAGGATGGAATCCTACGGAATTGAAATTCTATTACGATGGACAAGGATTTATTTCAATTAAATTGAACCAAAAAGAAGTAGAATTTGTGTATTATGATGTTTTTGGAAATGTGTTGCATAAATTTAGTGTGTCAAAGGACTCTTGTGTAAGTAGTCAATAGAGGTAAAAAAAAAAAAAAAAAACTATTACTTTTTAATTTATTATTGATTGTTTTCTTTGAGAAATCAAAGTGTATTTTAGTTGATTAGCAGCTAGATGCGAATTCAGAATTTAAAATATCTCAGGTTAATATTATCAAATAAATTGATTTTATAGTCCAATATTTATAAATACTTAGTTATTGTCTTTTACGTATATATATAGATTCTGATTAAAAATTATTGAGTTAAGGTAAATTCGTAATCGAATTTCTAGATTCGCCCCTACTTATTATGATTGTTTTCTACATAATCTGGTAGAGTACGGAAAGATAAGTTCCCGTTGGCCAAAATTTTTAAAGTTGAAACTTGAAAATTTGAGTTTTTGAAGGTGTAATTTCTGGAACTTAAAGTTGTGGTTGGACATGATTTATTTGGAATTTTTTGAAGTTTTGTTAGAGGAGTAGAAGACATATTTTCAAAATCTATCATCAGATAATTATTTAAAAATAAAATTTTAAATCGAATTCAAAATTTATAATCAAATACTAAAGCTAAAACATTTCATGGTATTTTAGTTTAAGAAATAGGGCAAAAAATATTCCTAAATTATTAAAAGTAGATCGAGTACTTTTGTCTTTAATGTTTGTTTTTTGGCACAAATTTGTCTTCGCTATGAGTCAAATTAAACAAATATATTTCTTTTCTAAACTATTAAAATAAAAAGAGAGCAACAATACCACCCGTTTTCCCGACTTCACATTAAATGTAGATTAGCATAAAATAATATTTTTTACAGAGTTAAAAGTTAAAAGAGAGAAGTATCGAAAATATTCCTGAAATTAGTATAAATTATTAGTTTCGTCTTTGAACTATTGACAGTTTCAAAAACACCCATTTGACAATTTTAAAAATACCCTTCTATTTGACTAACAAAACTTTTATACACCCCCGATCTGCCACATGACATATCAAGTGATTTCAAACTCTTGTAGAAGCATGAACTCTTAATAAAAAGTCGAGAGAAGTGTTGAGAATATCCTTAAATTTGGCGAGAATTTAGGAGTGTATTTCACTCATGTTGCTAGATCGCAGGTGTATTTAAGTTCAGTTAGTCAATTAAATGGGTATTTTTAAAACTGTCAATAATTCAAAAATAAAATAAATAATTCGATCAAGTTTAGGAGTGTGTTCAATATTTCTTTCAAATTAAAGTTACATCTCATTTACGAGCCTTTCTTGCAAATGGTGCTAATAGCAAACTCATATTTATACTTTATTTTTATCTAAGCCAAAAAAAAAAAATTAGTGTAAATGGGAAATTAATCAATGACTTTAAATCATATGAGTATGTAAAATAAATATTGAAAATGAACTCAGATTTAACATAAATAAATATTTCAATAGAAGATATTGGATACAATTACATCAATATTAGGATAATATTTAACTGCTAATTAGCAGAAACAAATTAAATCCATATTTTTTTTGGATATTTTTTGTTCAACTTTTTTTTTTGGAGTTGTTTACATAATGGAAACAAGATTTTTCGATGCACTCCATTTATGCAAAATGTTTCCAAAAATGTCAAAAAATTGTATCCAAACTTGTGTTTGAGTAATTTGCATAGCCATAAATCCTTGTCCATCATAATAAAATTTCATTTCCTTTGGATTCCACCAATTCATATCACCCCTCCATGATTTTGAACCCCCACCACTTGTCAAAAATTGTAGTGAACTGAAAAAAATAAAAAAAATTATAATCAAAATAATATACTTCTTCATTCTTAATCAGAGGTTTCGGGTTCGAGTCTCCCTGGGTACTTAGTCACCTTTGTTAGGGAGTGCTTTAGTCCCTAATATGGGACTTTCCGGCGTGAATCCAAATTTAATCAGACTTCAATATAAGTATCGGACACTGGATAGATTTTGTTTTAAAAAAAATTGAACCCATTTTTTTTAATTTTAGTTATGTGTAATATTTAATTACCTATCTGAACTGCTGATATGCTCCAAGCAATGGTCATGTCCATTTAGGTAGAAGTCAACATTGTTTGCCTAAAAAAATGAAAAAGAAAAAAGATGAGAAAGTATTAGAAACAATATTATTATAACAAACTACAAGATAAACCTTTCTAATTTAATTTTAATATCATTATTAAGAAAAAGATTCTATATAAAAAAAATTGAAATGAGTGACCAATAAACTTTATAGTTAAACAACAAAATTCATTATTAAAATCCTATTTAACGATTTCAAAGATAAATTATCAAAACAATCCGTTAGCTAAGAGTAATTTAGCACAAATTAACAACGAAATTCATAGCAATAGAATAGCCATAAACAATTCACATGTTATAAATATATGTTTTTTTTAAAAAATAACCAAAATACGCATAAACTGACTCAGACATTACCTGTAATATGGGAAGAAGGTAGACTCCAAGCTCCTCAGAGCTACCATGGTGTCCAGCACTTTTAATGGTGTGGTGACCAACTACTATTTTCCATTTTGCACTTGATTCCCTTAATGCTGAGTCCAAATCCTATTTAATATGGAGGTTAATGTTAATAAAATATTTCAGTTAATTTAATATGTGTAAAAATGAAAGTCATTCGTAAAAATGACATAAAATTAAAAATAAGTTTGTAAAGAGGTATAAATAATCAAATTTAGATTGACGAATATATGAATCAATGAAAATTAAGGATTAACTTCGTGGATGATCATTCAACTTTTACTTTATTATATAACATTTAACTTTACCTAAGTCAGAAAAGTCATTAAACTAATTTTGTAACCTAAAGACATAAGTAATATATAAATATACTCTTTTAACTAATTGGTTTTGGTTGACATATATGCCCTTCAATTTTGGATGTACTCAATAGACACTTAAAACTATCATAAATTTGAACAAATAAATACGTTACATGCATATCCTACATAACAAAATCGAAGAAAATGCATATGTCATACATGTCAAACCAAGTGATAAAGGCAGTTAGGAGAAAACACAATATAATTCTTCGACAAAATTGAATAACTTTTTAGTTGCAAAATGAAATTTTTTGTTTAGTTACTTTATGTGAAACTTCGGTAGAGTTAAAGTGATTTTATTGATATAAAAGATAATTTAGCGACTTTCAATGGTATTGAGGTAAAACTCAATGATTTTGTTATAAAAATAGTTTAGTAACTTTCGATATAATAAAACAAAAAAATTAATAATCATACGTGAAATCAACTCGAAAAATAATTTTACCTTCAAAACTAGGGAAAGATAATCTTTTCGAGGCATAACATTTCTCCAATCATAAGTATGATCTTTAGGAGTTGTGAAATACATATCTTGAAAAGGAGTTGTATCTACAAAGAAAAATTCTGCCACATCTGCAAAATAATGTGTAAATATTAATTAGTGAATTTTTTAAAATCTTAACCTAATTATTAAAATTTCATAATTAAGATTAATTTAATTATGTTACCTGTATTAACAATATAAGACCTCATACAAATCCATCTGTTATCCTTTTGCTTAAGAATAGGACTTAATTGTGCTAAAGCATCACCTCTGTAGTCATGGTTCCCCAAAACTGCAAATAAAAGTATACACCACATAAGGGGTTAAAAATATTTGCTTCGATCGAGTTGAGGTGTCGAAATGAAATTAAAAATATTTGTTTCGATCGAGTTGAGATGTCGAAATGAAATTTTATAAAGTAAAGAGATTTCAAATTGGGATAAATACAATTAGTTTGAGTATATATTTATATGTTATAAAAGAATTACTTTTTTTATTTCAACTTGTTTGTCTTAGTTTAACTTGATATGTAGTTTACGAAAATAAAGAAGATTTTTAAATTTTGTGGTCTTAAGTTAAAGATATGTCAAATGTATCAAACCACACTTTAAGCTTGTGGTATTAAACAAGTCATGTGGAAAATTAAAACTAAAGAATTGTTTAAAAAATAAAAAACTTTTTTTGGAACAGATTTAATTTTTTTAAAAAAATATGACAAATAAATTAAAATGAAAGGAATGCTATAATATACTCATTCGTTGCAAATTAATGCTCATTAAACAACAACATACCCAATAATCTCACAAAATCGGGTCTGAGTAGGGTATACATAATACACATACCTTATTCTATATCAAAGGTAGAAATATTGTTTCTGATAGACCATCAGCTCACGAAAAAAATAATTTTAAACAACACAGTGAAAGAATTAACAAGGAAACAAGAAATAATAGCTAATAACAAAAACAACATATATAATAACAGAATATAAACTCACAAAGTGGGGCCTGAATAGGGTATACATAATACACCAATCTTATCCTATCTCAAAGGTAAAAATATTGTTTTCGATAGACCTTTGATTCAAGAAAAAAACAATTTTAAACAGTACAATGAAAGAATTAACAAGGGAACAAAAAATAACAGCTAATAACAAAAACAACTTTTTTAACAAAATATAAACTATAATAGAACAATATGATAATCAAGACACAGAAAAAAAAATTAAAATTAAAACGACAATTAAAATGAAACAGAACAAAGAATCAAACTCACCATTGTACCAATTTTTTTGTAAGCTTGGAGCTGTATAGACATTGGTAAAAGATTCTTCAAAAGCAGGATCATCCACACCAGTCAATCCATCATCATAGAAATTGTCTCCAGTTGATACAACAAAATCTATGTTTAATTTCTCTCCAATTATTCCCATCTACAATAAATTCAACATAAACAAAAAAAAATCACTATAATCACTATAGGGTACAAATATTTTAAATTGCATAACATTGTATATATAGACACATGCATTTTATGTGACATATTTATATGATAATTTATGTCTTATCATATTATATTATATCTCGTAAAATACAAGTGTCTACTTATTTAATTTATACAAGTTTAAATGTCTATTTGTGTACACCTAAATTTGTATAAAGACAGTAGATGTCAGTTGAAACCAAGTTGAAAAACATATTTATATATTATGCCTTATTAATAAGTTAATCATTCTATTGAAGACAATCTCTCTACTCCACAAAGATAGAGTAAGATTTTACATTTTTAATATAAAAAATTACTGATTATGTTATTGTATATAATAATTTTTGTGTGTGTTTTAAGAATGTGTAAAATTAATATGAGTCGAGTAATACAAAATGAAAAATTAATTTAAAAAGAATAAAATATACTCCTTTTGTCCTAATTTATGTGATTTTTTCGTTTTTCAATAGTCAAACAGTTTAAGTTTGACCAGAAATTTGCGCGTGGAATCTTTAAATTTTTTTTAAATGAAATTTATATATTTGTTAACTACGTAAAAATGCTATAAATCAGAATAATTGACAATTCAAAATAATTAAAAGAAATATAAAAAAATTATGATAAAAATAGATTTGTTTGAATCTGGAGTATTAAATAAAATAGACCTTGAAATGATATCCATGCCCATCATGGAAACCACGTGCAGTCAATTATGTGAACCCAAAATGCACGCGATAATCAATTAGCTTGTCGATTTAGGGACATTCAATTAAATAATTGCAACTACTTTAATTGATTAGCTAAGTGGCAATATATATATATATATGTGGATTAAATCAAATAAAATGGCCCCATTAGATATTTTTCTTTGTTAAATTAGTAGTATACGTATTATTCATTGTTTAGGTCCCTAATACTTGTATTCTTTCACTTGGCCGACGAGGATTCTTCCACTAATTACATCTCCCAAAAAATAAAATAATGAAAGACATTATTTTTTTCCATTAGTAAAATCTCTCAATAAATAATATTAATAATTGTTGAATATTTTATTTTGATCAGACACGAAATTTAAGAGAAACGAAAAACTTTTGAATTTTGAGGTTTTATTTAAATTTTATTTTGATCTGACACGAAATTTAAGAGAATAACAAAAACTTTTGAATTTTGAGGTTTTCACGGAATACTAAAATATATTTTTAGTCTTGTGGTTATAAATATATGTTCGTAGAAAGTTAGAATTACAGAGTAGTCAATTCAGAAAAGTGATATTCTTTTTAAAACGATGTAAGATAAACAAATTGAAACAGACGAATATGCAGGAGGATGATGGTTATAGTGTTTACTTGTTGAGCAACTTGAGATTGGTTAAAGGTTCCTCTTCTTCCCCAATCTCCGACGACCAAAAAGCTAATCGAGCCGTCGGTGTTCACCGGATGTTCTAACCGGTGGAGCTCAGCCATGGCTGCCGGAAATAGTAACAACAACAAGAAACTAATGAAAATGTTGAGTATTTTCATGGAAGCCATATATTTTTAGAAAGAAGGATATTAGGGTTGAAATTAAAGTGGTGAGGAAAATGTAATGATTTATATGGTCATTTTATAGAGGGTGTGGGGGTGGGTAGGTGATATTTTGTCTATAAAAGAAAAGATATTAGATACACATAGGAAGTTTCCTATTTGAAATAGTGAAAAATTGTTTGATTATAATGTGTAAGTAAAGTTTGTAGTACTCCTTTTGTCGGTATGTTCTATTGTTTGCTAAATTTAATTTTAGATATTAATTTGCATTAAGGATAAGAAGATAATTTTAAAGTTAAATAATAATTTCAGAATTTAAGTTAGCTTGTTGTCCTAATTTTTTGGATTCGATTTTAAAATTTTATTTTTAAATATCTGTTTGATTATGAAATTTGATTAGATTTTGAAATTTTGATTTATATAAATATCTTTTCAAAAAGGAACTTCGATAAGTTTTTGAAAGAAATTTTACTTTCACTTACAAAATTTTAATTTTTTTCCCAATAAAATACATATTTAAACACAATTTCAAGTTTCAAAAATCGAACTTTTCAAATTTTAACTTCAAAAACTGAGATTTTCAGTTTCAACTTTTAACTTCAAAATCTATAGCTAAATGGGAGCTTAGCGTTTAAAATAGAAAAAGTATATTCTGCGAGAATAGAGTTCACTGTATCATTTGATTTGAACTTGAACTCGCACGACTTTATAATGCATTATTGGAATTTGTAATCTTCTTTTTTAATTTGTTGGGTTGTGGAAGGAGAAAAGCAAACATGAAAATTTGAGTAGGGGCACAACATAATTAAGAAAGCCATTTTATTTAGTCTTAAGACTAAATAGGCAGACACATGTGATTTGATGTCCGACCCAATTTAGTTGATTCTCAATTCTCGAACGAAGTGAAAAATGATAACGACTCTCTTTTTCTAGTAGCAGGTGAGATAAAAAAATCGTTTATATATTTAATTCTATTGTGTTAAATTTCCACATCAGGAAATTATATTATGACTCCGTCATGTGGAGTTTATTTATATACTACCCATTAGAAATTAATGACATAATTAAATGAATTAGACCTAATTAGTGCCTTTTCACTTGTACCTAATAATTTCAAAACAAATAGCTAGTACCTAATATTTCTCTTATATTTTACCTAGATGATATATTTAAATAATATAATTTTTCAATGAAAAAAAATATAAATTGATATATTTTTAATAAAGATAGATCCGCCGTTATTTATTAGCAACTTGGGTAAGTTTATTCATTTAGTATCTTCAAAGATTTTGAACTTATCCTTTTTCATAAATTCATGAATATTCCACAATCATTGATTCATTATATATATATAAAAATTAGAGAACAATGTATGCCAAACATTATTGAAGGAAATAATGTGGATCCACATGCAATTTGTATGTCTTTTATTCTTGTTGTAAATAAATATAACAACACCAATTCGTATTTTTTTTATGAAAAAAAAGGGAGGAGGAGGAAGTCTAGTATATGGTTATATATATATATTATAATTGTCAATCGAGTATCAACATAACTAATTTTAGACCAAATATATCAATGTAGCGATGATTAATTTGTTTTCTTCCAATTTTCGATGATTAAGTTTATTTTGATTTAAAAGAAAAAGATACATCGAAAATATTTGACAAAGACTAAAAAAGTTAATGACATTATATTTTGAAGCGGTATAAGTGTAAACCAAATAAAATCAAATTAAAAATGGACTTATGTACTTGCTCAGCGCCAATACATGTGCTGCATTTTCATTTAATGACATTTTCAACATTTTATACATGTTTCGTTTTATTTGTTTAACAAAAAAATCATTTATTTGACTGAAAGTTAACTATCAGCAGAAAAACATTTCGAATGTATCTTTAAAGAATAAATATTAAAATTTTAAAAACACCTTTAACATGAGATAGATATGTCAACAAAAATTCTAAAAATATCATCCGATATGAAATAAATATGCAGATGAAGAGATTTATAATTTTAAAAATACTCTCAACATGAAGTAAACATATTAACTAAAAGATATTACTTTTAACTTCTTATTAAATATTGATAATGATGATTAAGGGTCTTTTTTTTTCTTCATTTTTTTCTCTATTATTGAACATGAAGAATTTTGAACTTGGCCCCATGCTCAGCGTGGGAAACCTCCTTACTAGTTGGAAAATATATATTTTTAAAATATTACTTTATGATATGATGAGATGGCAAAATAATAACCACAATAAAAAAACTATATACTATAAGTGAGATAAAACCATGTGCAATCCCTATCCAATTCCTTCTTTTTTTTTTGGCTTGTTAAATTTGATTTCTGAAATATGAGTGGATAGTGATTGTGATTTGTCATTCACAAATATCAGATTGTTTTAGGGCGGCATGTTAAGACAAAATATATTTTGAAATCTGATTTGGAGTTAAAATTTTGTTTAGACGATTTATAATTTAGATTTCTTAAGTTATATTTATATAAATATAAAAATACAATTTCTTCTGTTTAACAATAGTTGTTCATTATTGACTTGACACACCCTTTAAGAAATAATAAATAATAAATAATAGGGGTAATATTATTATATTTTCTTTTGACTTTATTAAATTTAATATTGTGAGAAATGTGTTAGATGATAAATAAGTAGTACTTTAATAGCAAGAGTAAAATAGACACAAAAGGTAAATTATTCCTTGATTTTCTAAATTGGGCAAGTATTATTGGACAACTATTGTTGGACGGAGGGAGTATAATTTCTAAAAACTATTAAAATTTCTTCAATTATTATACAATTTTATCTAATGAGTAAATCATAATTTATAAACAAAGTATCGAAATATCCTAAAGCGTCACACTACTAGATTGCATGTATCTTTTACAAATAAATATTTGCGATTATATACTATTACAAACTTTCAAATACTTATAAATTTTACCAAAATTCATTGGTTCAAAAAATCAAAGATAGTAATAACTAGTTATTTTTTTTATTATAATCCTTTCACATGACAAACAATTTATTCTTTATCACACATGAATTTTTTAATTATTTTTTTACAAGTTTTAGATTTAATTTCTCTAAAAACATCCTTCTTTTCATAGAATTAGATATTTGAAATTAAAATTAAATTTTCTACAAATTTCATAAATACATATTAATTTCAAAGCAAATTTGAAATTTTATGGCCAAATGCCTATACAAATCTTCCTAAATCAAAATATTAGCCGTAAAAATCTTTGCAAGAATCTTATCTTGTTTAAAGCAGTACGTCAACAAACAAGTGACTTTAATTGGGGATATGACAATTTACAATTTATTTTTTATCAAATAAAATTAAGCACCAATTCTAGCAATAATTTTGAAGAATTTTTTCTTTCCCTTAAAGTGAAATCACGTATAGAATTTTGTTTATATTAAAAAAGGTAAACGACAGTTATAATTTGGCTTTTTATTCAAAGTATAAACTTTTAGTTAAAAGTTTATCCCATTCATATCTTTATCAATATATAGGGTTATTATTGGCCTTTCCTTTTTATCGTTGGTGATGGTGTTATCGATGACTTTTTTTCCTTTTTTAATCATGTATAATGTTGGTGTGCCAAAGAAATAATACTGAACACCGAATGAGAAAATAAAATAAATTAAATTACATAAATTCCACTAGTAGAGATGGTCCTGGAGCTAAGTGGTGGAGGACATGGGGTGGGGTGACGAGAGTTACGGTTGGGTAAGGTGATTTGCCGAGGTATATTGTTGGAGAGAGAAAAAAAATCAAATTGTTAATTGACCATTAATTTAGATGTTTAAATGTAAAAATGATAAATTAATCTCATTTTAGAGGGATTTGTTTATCTAATTGTATCGTTTAAAATATATGATATAAAATATTAAAAGTGATGTTATATGTAATTATTTGAAACTAGAATTAAGATTAGTATATATTGATGTATGTTTAGTTGAATAGTTTTTCGTTTTCAATTCATATTTTTTTTCTTCATTATTTTGATTAGGAAAGTGGAAAAAGTAGAAGGATGAATCATTAATTTTATTATTTTATTCAATGGTTCATAAAAAGTTGAAGAATGTGGTGGAAATAAGTCTATCTAGACAAACCATGTTATGTTGTAGCATTATTTCCCATTATTAGAAGTCATAGTAGACTAGACAATTATTTTTCATTACATTGATTGACAGTTTATATCAGTTGTATTTTTTTGTCATTTTCTTATCATTTCTGTTTTTTTTTAGTTGAACATCACTCTCATCATTGAACTGTGCCCATATCTCATTTTATTACCATTTCTGTTTTATAAAAAAAAATACATTGTTCATTTTTAGCATTATTGTCTCCCAATAATAGATAATTTCATCATATTGACCTATCAATGGGATTTTTGGATCAGGTTTGAACTATTTTCAACCAGTAAAGCCTTTTTGTGTGTGTATTATTTTTTAGATATGTTTTGAACTTTTTAAGTGAAACTTTTGCTTATATGAAACTTAGAAAAGATAATGAAGTGCTAGAAATAGCTAGTAGAAATAACGTTTTCTGGTCATACTCAGATCCTATTTTTGAAAAATAATCATTACTGTTTAAAAAATATGGCCTAGTGGTCAATAAATCATGGAATACTAATTATGAGGTTTCAAGTTTAAATGTCAGCAGAGATAAAAAGACACTGGATGATTTCTTTTTATATATATGTACATATGTTGTTGACGAAAGATGACATATCATATCTCGTAAAATTAGTTGATGAGCCTAAAAACTGACCTGAACAGAGCAATTATATAAAAAAAAGTCATTATTAAAATACTCACCGGCATTTTATAGACCCAAGACAAGATTTAAACCCTCGTGGTATCTCTCACCGGCATAAATATAAATAAAAACACCTTATTATAATTTATGTTTCATGCAATATACTGACTTTACATAAGCTTATTCGAAGGGCTTTTTCGCGTGTTTATTTTTTTATATATATGTATAGAAGTTACTTCTTGAAATTCTACTCTTC